AACAAAAGTTTTTGAGCTGTTCCATTCATCAAAACATTGATTTCTACAAATAAATTTGGGAATTTTAAGTCAGGAATTGATATTTTCGAATAAGAAATTGTCTTTTTAATAACTATGCCAACTCCAACGGAACTCTTGTCCCTTAAAACAATAAAGTTGTCTAGGTATATATTGTTTCCCTCAGGCAAATGTAACTCCTGGAGAAACGCTATATCAGCATTACCTTGATCCAGTATTACATTAAGTTCCAATTTTCTAGCTATGTTGACTAGGGAGCCAACATTAAAAGTTACTAAGTTCAAAGAATTACGGATGGTATACATCTTGGACATCTTGCATTAATTTCAAGCATTCAGCCTTTGCTTGATCTTTTGTCATTTGTTTGTATTTACCTAAAAAATTCTTGATCCTTTCTTCTAAAGTTAGAGATTCAGGATTGCATAACATTTTGGCTACTTTTAAAAATTCCTGAATTAAAAAAGGTTTTTCTTGCTTCTCTTGTGCTCTATTTGTTTCACTAAGAACATTAGCAAATGTTCTATTATCACTAGTCCAGTTTGTACCATTTACAAAACTTGACACATTTTTTATCGCAGCCATTTTCCGTACTTTTGATTCTTCAGCAATTTTGTTTCTATAAGAGAGAAATTTCTTATAGGAGCTACATCCCCTATAGCTAGCTGGGTGCCCAAAAGAATTGCAGTTAACACAAAATACTTTATCGTCGGGACCTATTTCACATGAACCGGGTTCATGTTTTTTATTACACTTCCCGCATGAAAAAGGGCGACTGCAGTTTTTCGAAAAGTGACCCCACTGTTGGCACCTCCAGCATCGAGGAATTTTTTTGGAAGCTTTCGGTTTTTCCCAATACACTCTTTGCTCAAGAATATACCTTATACCAAGAATCTCATTAGCTTTACGATTTGCCTTTAAAGTTACTAAGAACAAACTAGTATCAACACCGTGTTTTCTTGAGAAATCTGTAGAAAACTTTGTTACAGTTTCTACAGTATCCGGAACGAACTTATCTATTTCAGACTTAATGTCATTTACGTCAGTTTTAAAGTATAAACCTCTGCAGACTATACTTTGACGTTTGAACTCTTTGGGAGTATATGTATAAGAAGCAATATTTTTTTCTTTTAATAACGCTATCATCTCAGTATGAGTCGTGGCATCTTTTAAAAACAATTTGCTTTTAGAATTAGATTGATTTTTAATTTTAAATTCAATTTTTTTAGCCTTCAACTGCTCAATGAGAGAAGTTATATTGACGTTCTGTAGGAAAATAGGAGGACAAAAAGAATTCCTTTCCGCCTTAGTTGGTTCACTATTTTTAGAAGTGCGTGTGCTGTTATGTATTATTTTTTCATTTACACTAGACTCAATATCTAAATTGCCCAATAGAGAAAATCTATTTGTACGATTAATATTAGCATCTGTAATAACGGTCGGTTTAAAAACATGCTTTGATAAATCAATTTCCATATCCGTTTCACGTTTACGTTTTATCTTCGGTCTCACCTCTTTAAAGTCTTGATCTACGGAAAGAATGGACATTGTATCCTGATCCCAATCATTACATAACGTTTCGTTGCTAACCCGAGATATAGAATCATCCTCAATGGTACCATCAGTTGGGCTTGGTTTGGTTGCGGCATTATCCCCAAGAATAACATTAATTGGATTTTCAAAAACAGCAGTTGATTCCCAAGATCTGATTTCATAAGGTTTGATGATGTTGAAATTGATTCTTTAGGTTTCCTGGTACGATTCAAAATAGTTTTTGGAGTGGCTCCTTTCGAATTATCTTTCGTTACTCCGTCGGAACTATTGGGAGGCCTTCCTCCCGCTTGCAAAAGCGTTGAATGTTTTCTCATTCTTTTCAAAAGCAAATAATTAAATGTATATTGGTCTTTATTCAAGATTTCTTGAAATTCCAAAAATATTCAAATTTTCAGATTTCTTTTTTTTTTTTAAATTCAATTCAATTTAATTTTTTTTTTTTTGATTAGAAAAGCACAACCGGCTCGTTCGACAGACAAAATTCGAATCAATTTTCCACACATTTTCAATAGGATTTAAGTCCGGCAGTGCCGGCCAGCTCAACGTCATAATTTTGAATCGCAATCTTGTCGAAATACACATCTAAGTGGCATTCAGCGTTCGACAGAATGACATTGTTCAATATATTCGTACAATAAATTTCACTGTTCTTTCTATTCTAAATATAGGCCCTGTACAACGGTAGGAACAAAATGCCCATAACAATACGTGGAAGGAGTCCGGGGTTCTTAGGACTTCTTACGGTAAAACTACTCAATAAAGAGTTAAAAAATTAACTAAAGGGTGGGATGAAAAAACTTCAACCCATTTCAGACTGCTGTCATTTCTAAACCACTCGTCCGACAGCTGTTAAAATTATTCCAGTGACAGCTCATTATATTGTTTACAAGCGTACAAACGCATTTTAGTGAGAATTTTCCAGAAAAAAACTTATTCGTGATGGAATTCAAGCGTGATAGTGTGATTTCTTTATATTTGGCTGGAAAAACCACAAGTGGCTATCGTTAGAGCACTCCAGCGTTTAAATGTGAATAAATCGTTTGTGTCTCGTACCATCGCTCGTTACCGTGATACTGGTAGCATAGCTCGACGTCATGGAAGTGGACGGAAGAAAACAGCAACATCAGCAGAAATGGTTCGAAAAGTAAAGAAGCGACTTGTTCGAAACCCGCGTCGCAATGTCCGAAAATCGGTTCGTGAGCTGAACACATCGCGATATTCCATTAGCCAAATATTGAAAAATGATCTCGGAGTAAAGCCATTGAAATTCCAAAAAGTGCAAGAAATTACACCGCAACAGAAAGAAAATATACTCAAAAGAGCTCAAGAGTTGCTTCGCTTGGCCGAAAGTGGTGAACTGCCGAATTTTATTTTCTCCAATGAGAGACAAAATGATCGTGTTTACTTGCCAAAGAGGTCAGCTGAAATGTGTACCTTTCGTTGGCCACCAGAACTCAAACGCCGGACGGTGGTGATTGGGTGGGCTGTCATTACAGCCGATGGTCGCTCTCCGCTCGTATTAATCGATCGTGGCATCAGAATAAATGCCGAATATTGTCGCGAAAATATTCTGGAGGGTGTATTAAAGCCTTGAGCACGCAAACATTTTGGCTGCAGACCTTGGACATTCCAACAGGACTTAACACCATCGCACTCAGCACGCGCGACCCAAGAATGGTTACAAATTGAGGTTCCTCGCTTCATTTCCACAATGGCCACCAAAATCTTCGGATACCAAGCCGTTGGACTATTGTGTCTGGAGTATTTTGGAAAGCAAGGTGGGCACTAAAAAATACCAAAGTGTCGATCACCTCAAGAAAGCGCTTCGCCGGGAATGGGCCAAAATACCGCAGAACAACATTCGGGCAGCGTGTGACGGTTTCATTGGCCGTTTGAAGGCCATAATTCGTGCCAAAGGTGATCAATTCGAACAAATCCAGACTTATTCTAAAATTGGATACTATTTCCGACATTTTAAGATTTAAGAAAATGTAAAAATTATGGCGATTGACTTTGTTGCAGTTTTTTTTCATTTCACCCTGTATACAGGCGTTTTCTGTCATATTTGATGCTTCTGGAATTGTAACCAATTATGAGAGTTCTATTGTTACCTTCATTATTTATCTTTAGAAGTAAAACCTGATCCCAACGTGTCCTTTCCCAATTTTTACCATAACTTTGTTACTTACTTATTTTTTTTTTTTTTCATTCATTTTACTCATTTATCCCTTTATGATGTTTGTACAAACTCCGTGATCGAAAAAGGCTTAGTGAATATAATAAACCATGAACTAGATTCTCGCACTAGTTAAGTTAAAAGAGATGGGGTAATTCTCATTTCCCATATCGAAAAAATCTCGATCGAAATATTTATATTTGAATGTGTACATTTCAGCTTGATTGATTTGAAACATTCGGTAGAATCGACCATACTATGGAGGGTATATTAAGTTTGTCCGTCAGTAGAAATCTCTCTAGCTTCGGAACGAAGTAGATGGACAAATTGTACTCAAATGAATTTAAGTTTCATAGAATTTTTATTGAAAATGGGAAATATATATTGTTGTAGCCCCCATAAAAGGGTATCAGTCGATTCGAGGTATTTTTGGAGTTTGGTCACACTTTCATCCGATTTTGTTTAAATCAAGAGTTTGTGTTTCCAGCGGACAGAAAATATACTTAAAAATAGCTGTTCATTAAGGTCCAAGTTGTGGTATTGACCAAATATGGCGGAGCCTCCCAATAATCAGTAATATGGCCCTACTCTTGCAGATATTTGTCTATGCAGGTCCACGTTTTCGTATAGTCCCCATAAAGCGGTACCGCCCGATTTTTGGTATTAAGGTTAAACCGGCTGAAGTTCTAATGTAGCTGGTTTCCCAATTCTACTAACCCCCTATAATCCGGACTACGTTATGGGTAGGTGGGCCTCTCGGTCGGCAAGAGCGGGAAAGTGAGGCATTGGGAACTATCGACAAAAAGTGATTTAAGACTCATTTTGAACAGAATTGTCATAGTTGGTGTTTAAAATTCGCAATAGATAACACAATATCTGTGGTAGCTCCGGATATGCTCTATTTGGTTGATTTTTTATACATATATTGTCCCAATTTAAATAGGCTATTTAATGTTTAAACATGTAGCAAATTGTATGTAACGCCCGCGTCTTCTACGAATCGTAACGCTACACTACTTGAACACTCATTAACAATTGATTTAAAGTTTCCATCCCTGGAACAAGACCTAATACATATGGTTATGTAGGTTCGTATGTATGTCAATTCTACGACTGCATGAGAGTAAGGCAAACACATGTTTTGATTAAATCCAATTTCCCCTCCCGCATCCGACCGTTCTGCGGACATTGTTCTTCTCTTCAAGGATATGCGAACACTACCTTGTAACTTTGTACATCTATCGAAATGACTTACCACGCTTACAGTCGCCAGTGGTACGAAACGCAGGCCGGTTTGGCTGCGACGGCTGTAGTGCGTAAAATCTGCTGTACGCCGCATTAGCATACGCAGACTTGTTACACATACTCCTGATGCCATTGTTGCTGTTGTAGTTTATTTGTTGATAGTAGTGTTTGCTGTTGTTGTCGTTGTTGTTTAGAGATTTCCAGCTAGCTTTGTCTAGGATTTCGAAGCAACTCCTTCCGTTGTTGAATTATTGCAGGGATCTTTGGGGTCCTGGCTCGTCAATTGTCTACCACACCTAAAACATAAACATCAAAACATATGCAACACTCACTCACTCACTCGCTGGACACATTCACTCACTTCACTTTGGCGTTTCACATTCGCTCACTAGGAAATATATTAAAGCTTCACTTTTTTCCCTTTGCTTTTATGCTTATTTTAATGGGATTCTCAGAGCACTTTTGCTTTTTTTCCTTTCTATTTTCTTTTTATTTTTTATTTGCAACACCCTTTTCTTTCTTCTTATTTTTCACGGACGGATGAAAATTATTGAAGTGGTTTTGGAATTTTCTTTGGTATTAATTTTTTGCTCAACACTAGATGTTTTGTTGTTGTTTAGTAGATATTAGATGGGATACCTCCGGTTCGTAGCGCTGAGGTAGGCCAAATTTTTTCCGTTGTTATTGTTGGACAATACAAAAATAAAAGACAACAACCACAAGAACAATTCTAACGCGGCGCGTACAATACCGTCGAGACGTCAATCTAGCAAAGTGAACGTGTGTGTGTGTGTGTGCGTGGGTAGTGTAGTCGTCGGTGAGTTGGTCGCCTATATTTTTATGCAAATTTCTTTTTTCTTTTTCTTTAAGAATTTCAAAAAATAAATTCTATAAAACTTGAATATGCTAACACGAAGAAGAGGAAGATGAAGCTCTCATACACTCTAGCAAACACAGAGAAACACACACGCGGCAACGGCACGGACGTTTGTCACGACGAGACAACGAGATGGGGTTCTAGCAGTGTGCAACGTTTGTTCCAACGGACAGAAAATCACTGAACTGAAGTCGTCCAACAGTTCTTAAAATATCGTTTCAATGCCGTTCTCACGTTGTGCGTGAGTTCTAGAGTTCTTTCCCCAAAGGTTGTTGTTGCTGCTGCTGCTTTTGTCTTTGGTGTTATGGTTGCTGTTCGCTGATGATGGTGTTGTTGTCGCTCTTCTCAGTGGTGGTATTTTGTTGTTGATTGGAGATATAAATGCTTTTCGCCAAATATGAATTTTCTTACTCACGGCGCAAGTTTGTTGCTCCCGCAGACGAATTTTGGTTGGGTCTTATTTGAGAATAGGTATCTCCTCCATACAACAACAAGTCATGCATTTGACATTAGTCGTTGTTGTGTGTTTTTGTCGATATGTATGAAGGTACGTGTGTGCGGTAGTTTGGTTGGACCCGTCAAGCAACAACAAGTCGTCTCTACAGATGTCATAACAAAACAAAGAAAATAAAATCAACGAATGTCATACTAAGGCGTAACGTCAAACAAGTTTCGCTTTATTTTAGGGTTGTACGTTCCAATAGCAGAGCTTTGAGAAGCTTTTAACAAGTCACCGTTATTTTCGAAAATTACATTTAACCAGTTCGAGTAAATGTTGGCTTTCCGACAGATCCAGTAAGTGTACCAGCAGTCGGTACTTTTTTAATTTTCGCTTCTTCAATCTTCTTGTTGAATTTTTTGTATAACGAAGTAATGTAATTCGGATTCAAAATTTTGTTTAATTTCGAAAAAATAATAATTTTATTAAATTGTTATTAAATAAATTATTAAATTTATAAAATAAAATAAAAAAACAACTCTAGTTTAAAACAAGTAAGCAAAGGCTACAGTCGAGCGGGGCCGACCGTTGAATACCCTACAACACTATAATAAGTGATACAGTTTATATAGGCGAAATACTCGAAAGAATTCCACAAGATATTGTGATAAATAATAAAAGAAAACCATCAGGTTTCGTTCTCTAATTTTCGAATAATAGCAACTTAAACTAATTTGCTCACTTCCAATTTATTGGTAAATGTTGCACGTAAATGGTCTTTCTAGATCTGGAACCAATTTTTCCCAAAGACCTATAATCTCTCAAAATTTGTTATTGGTTTTACATTTGTTATTGGTTTTTGACTGAAACGTATCTATATGAGATACAGACATTTTTTTCTTCAACGAAATCAGCCTTAACGAAATATTCAGAAGTGTGTCTTTCCTGTATTAGTGAATTCTCCAAAAAGTCACTGGAATGGATATTTTCGTATTTTGTCTACAAAAGTTGGCAAACGATTTTACACATTGAATATTTTTGGATGGTCATCCAAAACTGCTTGGCTTTTGAAATGTCCGGTAACCCCCATTCAAATGTGCGTGAGGATCGGGCATTTCAACTCCTAAATATATGGCGATCATCTCCAAAAAGAGTAGGCTTCTATTCTGACCCTCATCTTATCCCCATGCAAAATTTCGTAAGGATCGGGCCATAAATGCGATCTGTATATGATATCTTGATATCCTAACTACTTAGTTTTGTTAGCTGTAGAAATATTACCAAATGTTTAATTCAAAATGAAAATACGCCAAAAATATGACAAAATTGAAAAAATATGAGATAATGTTACAAAATCAAAATTTTCATCTTTAGAGAGATATTTTTATGCGATTTTTTAGACGTTTTTTCTTTCCTGTCAAGAGGCCATTCTGAAGTAATGAGAACTGTCGAAATCAGTTCAGCCGTTCTCGACATATAAGAGATATTTTAATCATATCTTCTTTGATAGACATATATATCGCACATATTTTGCTATATATTCGATTTGTTGGATGTTAACATCAATGTAAAGGTCAGAAGTAACCTTGTGATGGCTTTGTGATTTAGCCGGAATTTAAAATATTCACGGTTTAATGAAAAAAATTGATTTTTTTTCAACACAAAAGATATGGTCTTTTTTACCCGCTAAATATTATCCGATGACCACCGAAATTGGTAGGCTTCTTCCCCTAAACTCTAGCTACATGCGAAATTCCGCGTCGATTGGTCTATAATTGCGACCTGTATAGCTACTGCAAAATCCGACATTTTTCAGTATTTGATCCATTTCAACCCCTAAACATTTGGCGATCATCTCCAAAAGAAATAGGGTTCTATTCCGACCCTAACCCCACCTTCGTGCAAAATTTCGTAAGGATCGGGCCATAATTGCGACCAGTAGCGTGATTAAAAAATTAACATGGACAGACGGACGGACGGACATACATAGCTAGATCGACTCAGCTCGGCAAGCTAGGAAGATCCATATATACTTTCCTATATGGGAAACCAATATTTCGAGGTGTTACATAAATTTTGGCCCAATCAAACTTATAATACCCCCAACACATAGTGTTGTAGGGTATAAAAAAACAAATCTAGATTTTTTCGAAATTTTTTCCAGAGGTAGTTATTTTTACTCTGATTCCGGGAAACTATTTTTTTTTTGTCTTGGGGGCGGACTCGGGACCCCCGATTTTTGACCCGAAAGTCCGGGTTCAAGATCCGGACTGGGGGAAATTTCCGATTTCCATGTTCCATGTTTGGAGTATATGGAGTATTTCCATCGGTTTATACGATATGTGACATGATAGGACGTGACTAAATCAGCTCCAAACATCCTGAAAAGAATGTCGCCTAAGGAGGAGACAGGGGGTATAAAACTATTATTTCGATTAGTCACATTTTTCCCATATTTCAAAAAAAAGAGAGAAAATAGTTGTACTTTGTTAAATTATATTAATCTTGCTAGCAAGTGCCAGCCACTATATCGGCGAAAAGTCCACCTTAAAATTTTAGATTTGTTCCATCAGTTTGTGTTAGTCCTTTTAGTACTCAAATTGCAAAATTTGTTAATTATTATTATTAAAATTTTTCTTTTTTCGAAAAAAATAATAGGGAAATGTTTACCTTTTACACCAAATGTCTTCAAAATCTTTCATTTTCAAGTTTACCGAGGAGGATATTAGTAAAACCACTGAACAATGGACCCATATCCACATATGTCTGTTCAAAACTATTTCAACGTCCCTATTTATAAACTCTAGAAAACGACACTGACTTCAATTTCATATCAAAATTTCAAGATTTCAGCCCAATCCCTTCACCCAATACTAATTTTGGTAACATTTCAAATGCATATTCAAAATAATCTAAATCTCCCCATTCCAAACACCAACAGTGATCAATAATTTGTATCATTTAGTAATTCGTACGGTTACGGTACAGATTTCCAAAACCAGCTCCATATCTCAATTCAGGATACCAACAGAGAGCTCTCTATAAAATTTCTGTATTCCAGCCCTATACATTAAACATATACCAAATTTGGTACTTTTCGTATAATTTTAGAACTGATTTGCGAAACCATTCCCTATCTCAATTCTAGACAGCAACAGTTCTCGCGATATAAAATTATACCAAATTTAGTTCAATTCAGTAATTTTCGAACAACAGTAGTATGCATTTCCAAATTCATCTCAACTCATATCAACCACAGACACCAACAGTTATATAAATATCAAATTTCAGAATTTTATAACCAAGACCAAAAGTAATATATTTTATTAATTTTTGTACAATTATAATGCACATATCCAAAACCACCTCCACATCTCAATTCCAGATACTAAACATTAAACCTCAGGATTGTATCTCTATCCCTTCCACCAAGACAAAATTTAGTACATTCAGTACTTTTTGTAGAATTATACTACACATTTCCGAAACCATTTCCAAATGTCCAGGCTACACATGTACAGCACTTTATGTTCACACAATATCAAATTGTAACAAATATATTATTATTTCGTACACAAGCTCATAACTTCATCTTAATTACAAATCCACCACCAGAAGGGACCCCAATACAACATTTCAAAACTGCAGATTAATCCGTTCACCTTAGTTAGTTAGTACCATTTAGAACGGTTCGCACACTTATCACATGCTTCCAACTTTCCAACCTAGATTCTTAAGTTTCAAATTTTTAGCTCTATCCGTCCAAACAGTACCATTTTTAAAGTTTAGTACCATTTGAGAACTTTTCGTAACTTAAAGTCTGATTTTCAAAAATGTCCCTTTGGTACATCTACCCGTACTCCATCAGTGACTCTCATTCCAAATTTCAGAATTCTAGCTCACTCCATCTGTCCAATATAAAGTATTCAATTTTTAGTACATTTCGTATCCTTTTAGTATGAACTTCCAAAATCCCAACCTTATCACACGGCTACGCAAAATTTCAAGATTATAGCTTCAGTTTTTTCTTCTGGACGTTGTGCTACTTAAGCTGAAGTTAATCCCATATTTTAACCGAATTCTATATCCGATTGAAGATATATAAAATAAAATGATTATTTCGATGAGTTACATATGAGACAAACATAATATACCGTGTTTTTCCCATTTATTCTTTGCCAACACCCGATTTCTCTTGGAGGTTTGACGATATGTTCAGAATGAGAAACTATTGGCAAATTTATTTTCTTGCTGAAAAACTTGACGAAAATCCAATCGTCAAATTCCAAAATGTATTTCTATAAATCCATTGAATATACACAAATCAGAGAAGGGAACCTGTTTTTTATGCCGTGAAATTTGACTTTTCATTTTGCCATGTTTTATTCTTAGTACCTCAAAATTCCTCGAACCGAGATGTGCCTTTAAAAGAAAGTTAATACCAGGTAACGCTTAGATGTGAAAAAAATCCAAGAATGTTAATATTTTTTCACAGTATATTAATTTAAGAGAAATTTGCGGATTTTTCTAAAAGATCGAATTTTTTTTTACAAAAACGTGTTCCTTTTGTTTATCCCAAAACGAAAAAAGCGTTCTCCCTCACAAAAGCTGTAAATTTGAATTTAAAAATTATTCTGAATATTTTTCAAAACAATACATAATCATACAAAATCTGTGCATGTATTTTGACATTACAAGGCTACCATAAGAAAATATTCCCAACATACCAAAAATACAATACAGCTTTAGAATATCAATATAATATTATAAAAATATATATTTTTCAACAATGCTTGAGAAACGCTTATGTTGCACAAACTATTCTCAAATCTTTCCTTTGTTGACAAAATTTTTTTAAATTTTTTTGTGAAAATTATTTTGTTTGGGAAAAAGCAAAATCACGTGAATTTAGGACCCATAATAAATCCGGGAATCATGATATATTTTTTGGAGGCATCAA